GTACAAAACACTCCCCCCATTACGTGACATTTTTCGAAAAATATTATTTTAACACTGCCATCTGATATTCTGTACACAAGTAGAACACATTGCGAGATATTTATAGGTCCAAACCAAACTCCAATCAGACGAATAGTTTCCGAGACAGACGAGAAACAAAGTGGAGCCTCGACTGATTAAATACCAAACACCCCCCCAATACGTGACAAATTTTGAAAAATATTAATTTTAACCCTGCCATTTAATATTCTGTATACAAGTAGAACACATTAAGAGAATATGATAGGTGCAAACTTAACTAAAATCAGACCAATAGTTTCTGAGATAAATGAGAAACGAAGTGGAGCCTTGACTAATCAAGAACAAAACACCCCCCTATTACGTGCCAGATTTTGGAAAAATATAATTTTAGGCACTTCCGTCTTCTATTTAGTTTACAATTAGAACACATTAAGAGAAATTCATTGATTCGAATTAGAGGGATAATTTTCGAGATAGACGAGAAACAAAGTGGAGCCTCGACTGATCAAGAAAAAAAACCTCTTACGTAACAAATTTGGAAAAATATTAATTTTAGCGAAAAATTCTTAAATTCGGTGTATATGTAGAATTTTTTATGAGAAATTAAATGGTGCAAACTAGACGCAGAGTGATATTTTAGGTGATAGACGTAAAACAAAATCGAGCCCCTGTTGGGAAAATACAAATTACCCCCATTACGTGATGAATTTGGAAAAATATTTATTTCGACGCCCATCTTTGATATTCTGTATTTAAATAGAGAAATTGAATAGTGAAAACTATAAGCCAATCGAACTAATAGATTTGGAAGTAGACGAGAAAGGAATTCAACACTCAGGTGACCAAGTACGTAATACCTCCCCATTACGTGACAAATTTGGAAAAATAATAATTTCGGTGCTTATTTCTGAATTTCAGTATATAAGTAGAACAAATTACTTGATATTGAATAGTGAAAACTAGAATACAATTAGACTTATAGATTTGGAGCTAGACGAGAAAACCGTTCGAGGTCAGGGGATCAAGTATATAATACCTCTCTATTACGTGACCAATTTGGAAAAATATTAAAACTTTTGCTTACCTCTGAAATTCAGCGTATACGAGGGTTGCCTTTTATATTAAAGGATTAGAGAACAAAAACAAATATTAATCATCGAAAATCTTTTTATTGTATTTCAAAATATTCCCCATGAAGATCTATACACTTTTCCATGCCTTTGAACTAATTGTCGAAGCACTTTTGCCACTCTGATTGAAGTATCTCCAAAACATGCATTCTGAATGCAGAATTCTTCAGGTGTCGAAAAACGTTGACCTTTCAGTTTGTTTTCTACGTACGGGAATAAAAAGAAGTCATTTGGTTCCAAGTCAGGACTATACGGCGAATGACTAATGAAATTGATGTTATTGGGTGCTTAAAATTCAGTTGTTTTAGCCGGTTTGCGAGAGCTCGCATTGTCGTGGTGAAGAGTGATCCATCTTCGGCTGTTGGTTTTCCTGATTTCTTGGAAGACAGCTGGCAAACAAATCGTTGTGTACTACTCAGAATTGACTGTTCTGCGTTGTTCTAGTGGTACGGTTGCGACATGTCATGGTGTTCCGAATAAACAGGCGACCATCTCTTTGGAAGTGCTTCGTGCGCGAACTTTTGTTAGATTTTGCTCATCCTGAAACACCCATACAGTCGAATGCTGTTTACATTTTGGGCTCATACGCGTAAATCCACGATTCATCACCTGTCACGATGTCATAGACGTGTTTCGAAGCTCAGCGATCGCATTTTTTGAGCATATTTTTTGGCCAATCGACACGAGCCTTTTTTTGAGCGATTGACAAATTGTGTGGGAAATTTTTTGACAGTCAAATGTTCATGCAACATTGAAAGTATGCTGGTCCCACTAATGCCTAAAGTTGTCTAAATCTCACGATAAGTCACATGACGATCTTGCAATATCAGTTAACGCACAGCATCAATGGTTTTCGGAACAACAACTGATTTTGGATGACCTTCGCGAAATTCGTCTTGGAGTGAACTACGACAACGATTGAATTCACCATACCATCGATATACACTGGTCCTTGATGGAGCTTCATCGCCAAAAATTGAATTAAGTTCATCCATGCACTGTTGCTGAGTTAATCCACGTCGAAAGTTGTAAAAAATAATCGCACGAAAATATCCTCGATTTAATTCCATTTATGAGCCAAGATGAATCTTTAAGTTACTGTAAACAACACAAATAGCTCTCGTATGTCAAAACGTTCTAAGTACGTATAACCTTAAAACATCCAACTTTACGATAGAGCTGTCAGTTGCACAACAAGGCTAATTTATTTGGCGGCCAATGTTCCACCAATTATGGTCGATAGAACGTAAACAAGATTGTAGAGCGACTACTTTTGATGCTTTACCGGGATATGTCACGGGCATACAAATAGGATGAGTAAAACTAGCAGCTTCACAGAAGTGAAAATATTACAAGACTCTAAATATTTTATTTAGAAATAAAAAAAATAAATAGTTTGTATAATAAAAATTGTGTATTATTTGCTAGAAAACTGTGTTCTATTTTTCATATACCCTTAATAAACACGATAATGTAACATCAGTTTGATAAAAAACTTTATAATGCGTTGTGAAAAAATGGAACGTACTGGGATAAAGCTGAACTCAGATATGAAATCCGCACCTCAAAAAAACTGTATATTTCGTATAAATTAAATTTTTTTTTACGTTTACATTTGCAGACATTTGTAATGCATCAACTGCCTTGTTGGCGAGAATGCAAATTTGGCAAAATACGGATTAATCTGTACGTATTTATAGGGGTCTTACCAAAGATAGAGAAGTATTTGCCTTCTGTTACATCAGAAAATCAGATAAAAGCTGCACCTAGCCATGAAACGTTTGGTATACTGTCTGGAATTAAAAAATAGTGAAAATAGGCGATTTACCTAAATTTTTCCTATTATTTGCGTTATTACTCCACAATATCAATTTAAAAAATACATGACATCATTTAAAGATCTACAATTGAATAAATTTAGGCACAAAATACACAAGGTTGGGGCAGAAGTCATAGCAACTGTTTTTCGTTTCTAAAATAAACGGTATCGGAGAGCGCAAATTTATTTGTCGCGTGAAAGAAATTCTGAACTAATGTGTGTTCACAACAGATAGTTCTGTGAGTGACACTATTAGCAAAGATAGCAAGTGAAATCAGTAGTCTTACTGCCACCGTGCAAGATTATTGAAATCCGTTTCAAGGAGCGCTTACACATAGAGATAGTCGTTCTATAGAAAAAATGACCCATAATATCATAGAAAACTGGTGAAAAAGGCCCTTCTACACCGGACAATCGCAAGATTTTCTGAGAAGGAGTTTCTGCGAGGACGCGTGACAAGCAGTGATCGGCAACACACGTCACGACCTACTAGTGTGTTGTCCCATGTGGCACGAGACGATTGGTAATCCATCAACAGCCTAATCAGGCCTTTAGAACTGGTATATTAACCTTTTGGAGTGCTGGGAAGTCGTAAATGCTATAATGCTTTGGAATATGAAACCAGTAGGTACTGCCATTTCAAGTACCATAATAAATATGCGAAACACAATTTTGGAGAGTCGTTAAATATTCACATCTCAATCTTTCGTGTGTATTTCACATTTCTCGGCTGTGCTATTATTCTCTCAAAAATTAATAACTTTCTTATCTACGCCGTAAAAAGCAATATGGTTTAAAACTGACTTGGAAAATTGGGACATATTTTAAAATTTTCAGCATCAAGGATGCGTGTCGAAATTACAGAACGTGTGCGATGAGGTTATTAGAAGTGTTCTACATATTGATATTATGGAAAACAAACCCCTAAAACACATTGTATTAGTATGTTATGTAGTTCAGAATTACGTATCGAAAACAATGAATTAAGGTAGTTTTGCACATTCTAGAACAATAAAATTTCTATTCACTGTGAATCCATTTCAACATCTTTCTACAAATGTAATGGAATTTTCCAGCAAAATTAACCTAGATATTTATGATGCAGGGAAATCCTGCTGTCCACCTTATTTTGAAAAGTAATTCATCACGTAACCAATTGGATGTTTGTGAAAGGGCCCCAAATGTCCTAATGCGTTTATATACACTCACAAATATTTGTTTTTAAAACACTCTTAGTACTTCAGAAATCCTCCTATCGCTTCCCTAACAACATTACACTTATATGTTTTCTCGAAAAGGAAATGCCAAATGTCTTCAATAGGTTAAGTACAATTCACACAATGAAATAATGAATACATAACGACAGATAAGCGTTCTTTATGTTAATTAAATCATTTTATTAGATGTTAGTGTTTATGCAATAAAACTATTTACTACTAATAAGCAATAAACTAGTCCCCACTAACTTCTATTTAAAGCAAAAATTTAAAATTTGTTTGAATGGAATTCTCCCTCGTTTTTTTTAAACGAAAACGCTTACTATTTTAATAATAAAGATTGTTGCAATTGTGTAAGAGTCAAAGATTTTAATGAAAATTAAACTGTACAATAAATATAAATACACTTTTTTCTATTCGAACAAAATCTTAAGAAATGTAGCCATTTTCCAGAAAATATTGAAAATGTCGTAGGGCTTTCTTGTAATATACCCCTAAATTTAAGATACCTTAATTATATCCTGAACTAGATCTTATTCCCGATGTATTTATCAAGTTTCAATTCAAAAGCAACAGGACAGAGCTATGCGTGACACCTATACACGTATTTGCATACACATATGCAAATTAATTGCTTGCATCTCCTCCCCTTCTTCACCATTTTTAATCATCTTTAAAACATCACTAATATACCTTAATTTCCACGTATGTGCAAAGTTAAAGCTGAAAAGAACCTAAAAACTGATTTTACGACCGATATTTTAAAGCATATTGTTGAGATAATTCCAATATGAAAATTTAGAATGGAAGTACTTTTTAAATAGGTAAAAATAGTATTATGTGGTTGTAAAGTTTTTATATCAAAATTTAATTGGATAAATCTTAAGACTTGATCATGAGTTAGTTAAATTCTTTTGTCTTTTGAAAAATGTAGTGTTTTTGACAACACTTCCGAAGGACTACAAAAATTAACGAAATTGTTCAGGATTGTACTCGTAGTATTCAACTCACGAAGCAAATAATTTTCACGAAGTAAATACTATTATTCTAGTTTTATTCATTTAATTTAATCAAAGGATTCTAACATCTCCATTTATTCTCTTGTATTGAAGGTCATTTCAATGAGCTCTGAGTCAATACGTTTTCTTCTTACCAACGAATGATGAAAGTTCCACATGTTTCCTGTTTTCAACAGTATGTATCTTTTGTTGTACATCGAGTCGAACATCGCCAGTTTTTCTTATCGTTGATTGCACAGCCTGAGGAATACTGAAAAGAACCTGCAATGATATTAAAATAGAATAAGGTACAAATATTAAAGATTATCACTTCAACAAGAGACATCAGCACGCGACCTGTCATTGAATATCCTAGGTTTATCACCATAGGCATCCTAGGTTTATCGAGGTGAAAAATCTTATTTGAGTGAAAACCTACATTGCTTCCGTTACATGCTCTCCGAGATCACAACGTCCATCACTGAATGTCCTCTTACACTCCGTATTAAACAAGCAAACACAATGAAATTCAAAATGTCAGTAATATTTGAATTTTTAAATAGTTTTGTTCAATGAAATACTTCGAGAAAACAGATCAATATAATTCGGTTTAACGTTAGTGATATGTTTGGTGGTAGGAGCCGTTTACTCTTGAATTGTATAAGTTTCACGACGGAACGAAACTTTGCCTACCTTTACGTGACGATGTTCTGAAGAATTACGATTACTTAAAATAGCAAAGGAGAAAAATTTTTAGATTGACTTGCTAAAAAACAATCAATAAATGTAGTTTTTGTTACGTACAACATGATTATTGTAATATTCATCGTGAAAAGAGAAGCCATGATGTGTCAACTTCCCCGACTTGTTGACTTGACTTTTTGAAGACGCAGTTTATCGAAATGTAAATACAATCATTTCCAATGCAACGCTTGAAAGCCATAAAGAAAGATATGGAAATTGAACTAATTAATGCTCCAAAAATACATTAATTATTGAGTAACGTTGATATTATAAATGTCATTATATTCGTGGTATTTTCCCATTTTATATATTACTTGTAAATAATTTTGACAATTATAAAGTTTGTTGCAAAGCCTATACCTACCACAATATTTCATTTTCACCTATTTGGATAACGAGTATCTCGAGAATGCACCCAGCGTCAACTATCCAGGTTATCGTGGTCTTTGAGAAAAAGCTATTTCTTTTTCTTGTAAATTGGTTTTGAAGCATTTTACAAAGTTATAGCCATCGGGTGTTGTAGGTAAAAAAATGTAATTTGAACATACGAGTTTGTAACATGAAATTCAAATTTTCAAATCTAGAAATTCGATATCCAAGAAAGACACCAGCAATACAATTACAATCAACTAGAAAATGTCCAAAATCTTGCAAAGGCGCCGCACAACTAACCAGAAATCCCAAAATCAAGTCTAATGTTACCGTTAGTCAACAATCACATTCAATTAGCATGGTTCATTTAAATAATAGCAGCTCTCACTAGATTAGGCCTTCCCAAATCCGGACCGCCTGTCGTCGCTGGACGAAAACATTCCACTGCGGGGATTGTGAGCGGGGAGACTGACCTTAGGCAGTGTTCCACATCCGGGTTTTTGACCCAGGATTCCTTTTTTTCTCATTTATTTTCTTCTTGTTCGGCCATGTGGCCTTTCAAGCGCCAGATATTTCTTTTGATAGGTAGATTAGTCTTTTGGTTGTACGACTACGCCATCCTTCTTTGAAGTGTAGTTCAGGGTTAAGAGTGACTGTTTCTTCGATTAACATATTTCGATCCCTGAACTATTAACCTTTCTTGATAAAATTAGTACTAGTTTTATTTGTATGAACTCACACTTATCCTATGGAAATGTATGTATGTTACGTGGATTATCCGAGGTACAAGTACTTTCACTAGGAAAAGAAAACCTCTATCCAGAGGAAATATAAAGTATATTAAATCTGTTTTTAAACGTATATGTCAAGTTCTTTACAATAGCGAAATATGTATAGCCCGAAAGTTTGGCAAAATGCCTTTTTATTGATTTTATGACTTCTAACAATGGGAATCACTTAATTGTACTTCTCGAGTTGTTTTAGTAGATTTTCATTTTGCCTTTCTTTGCATATTTTAGCTTTTGATGTCTATTTTTGTTTTTTGCCTTATTTATGCCTTTTCTGCCTTTTTGTCATTATTTTCCCTTTTGCCCCCTCCCGCCACCGATCTCCATCAAGCTGGAAATATACCTGTGTGCCTGCACAACGTGAAGTCACGGTTGTGTATTGTCTTTCTGTGGACGCGTAGGCTCCAGTGTCAGGTTGTGTTAAAAATCTAAAAGGAAAAGGAATACCGAGAATATTTTTGTTATTTGTTGTTGTCGCTCACAAACTTATCGCTTTGTGTAAGTCCTCTGACCCTTTTTGAGGCCAGAGCTGACGGTACATGGTATACCCTTCTCTGTTCTTTCTTGTTCTCCCTCCCCTTCTGGCGATTACACGAGTACGAAGAGTGTATCTACAATAAACGACACCATTTCTAGATTCAAAAGGATGACCAAGAAGCATTTCGTACAGACAGTGTAAGGTTACATTAATTAATGTGCAATCAAGATTACATGAATTACAGGAAGTTTCCTTCTAGGTGAGCGCTAATGTAAGTTTTAGAGACAGAATAAAAATGTGAATCATTTTCATTACTAATTTATAACTGTTTTTAAATTGTGACTTTTCAACTATTTTTGTGTCTCTTACCCGAAATTTAGCAGGAATAAATGCCCTTTAAGCACTTCTATATTCCGAAAAGTAAATGTCTTTATTTCCTGCCTATTTTAGGTAAAATAAGTGCCTGAACTTCTGGGCTCTAATATCATTAACCTGTAGTTACGTTTTAGACAGCAACTCGTTAAAACCTATTTCTTTTAAGGAATGAATATCGACCTAAAAGTTGATTTTTAGCACTAGTGCTCAAAGCAATTGTCAAATGAAGAAAAAAAACTGTGAAGTTTTTGAACAAGAAACAAAGTAAATGGAATACTTTCATCTCACCGCATCAACTACTACCGGCATTAATGTATTGCAGTACATAATTAACTGATTTGTTTGCTACAACAGAGATGAAAAGAAAGTCAGGATGCCTGTCTAAATATAATCTACGGCAAACATGGTAAAAGTGTTGTTATTTTGCTCGTAGGATTACGACACTCTACCAATCGGTCTTGCTTGGTCTTGCGTCCCAACCTTTGCAACTCTGAAAATAAAATGCCACTTTTACCTCTCGTATCATGTATGTCTATTAAGTCTCCATAATACGCGCGCATTGTCTGTTACAACACTGCGTGTGGTGTGAGTTCACGTGTCCTTCAAGTCAACGCAAGCTGCGAAATCAGTCCAGTTTTCTTTGATTGTAAACAATACTACTATAAATGTCAACGCCAATCTGCATTTTCTTCTACAAGGAATTTAAGAAATAGATGATGAATAATACTTGTAATCAGAATGAGTGATAGCTACGTCAGATACGGCTGTTAGCGTGGGGTCACTACTATATTAAGCGTTCTTCTGGACTCTTTAAATCGAAGCTCATATGACATTTACTTAATAATATATTATTGTATTCATTGTCACTATTAGAAATCACAAGGTCAAGGTTAAAATCCACAATAAAAAACTTACAAAACACTAAGACGCTTTCTAGTTCATTATTTACCAGAAATAATTCATAATTAAGTGATTCGCATACTTAAATGAAAACAAAATTGAAGACGGTAAGGCTGTCTAAAAAAGTGTGTATGACAGATACAGTAAACGTTATTTCATTTTGCTCGTAAAATTACGCCACTCTGCCTAACTGCCTCGTGTCTTAACATTTTCTTCTCACAAAATAAAATATCACTTTTACAATTCATAGCATAAATAACTTATTTTACATTACGGTCTGTAGTAGCCGATGCGGTCACACGAAAGTTTTATGTTTTCTGTGTTGCAGTCACAGATTTATCTGAATCCATGAGCATCGTCTCACATTTAGACATTTTGCTAAAAATTCAACCTTTAGCAAGCTACCCATGTCCAGAAAAATACCGCATTTAATAGTGGCCGTTATTTGAGAATATTGTTAATTAAAAATTATAAAAAACATATTATTGCAAAACACTGTAGAAATTCGGTCCCTTTTACGCTACGAGAGTTGAGCCTCCTGATCGAAGGCGCCGCTTCGATATTCCCGGCTTTCCCGAGGAGCGCGTGAGCTTGGGCTAGCTTAGCTGCAGAGCGCCGCCCACCGCCGCTGGATCACCGCCTGAAGGGGTTCCCAGGGGAAATGTCGCATTGAGGGCGGCTCGGCTTAGGTGGGCAGGGGCACAGTGGGAATGGCGCGCTCCTCGCCGAGGTGACGAAGCGCACGTGACCCTCGCCATTGGGAGCCCCAGATGATTGGGAGAGGATAACCAGGTATATTTTTGGTGATCAGTCGATGTCGACAGTCTTATCGTTGTGTTGAGTACTGTTTCGCATTCCTAAACATTCACACTTCTCTAAATATTTATAATTGTTTTACACTTGAATCAAAAATATAAATTGAAAATTTATATCTATTTAGAACGTTTTAAACGTTGCCTGTCACATAAGGAATAAGGTTGAAAATAAGCCTGAAAATAAGGTTTTAATACGTTTAGAATGTCACAGGCAGGAGTGTAGTAAATACAATTCAGAATACAAATATGTGCTCCAAGATATAAAAAGAGTTTCAGAATTTAGAAAGATATCTAAATAAGTAATATTAACAATTTAATGAACGTGATTTTGATTTCAATGTAATTATTTATTTAGTAGTAAACAAAGTAACATAAAGAGACAAAACAATTTGTTACGAGATCATTAGAATTCATGACTACTTACGTGATCCTTGATCTATTTACAACTGAGTGTAGACCACCCGATTACTAACCCTGTTCGAAAGGAAAACCCATTCTCTGGTTGAAATGGCGACTGCAGGTGAAGTCATTGACGGAAGTATTTGCACGTGTCGTGACTGTTGTAGTGAAGTTATTAAACACAGGATTGCGCCAGTCATCGTTAAGAGTGTGAAGGTATAACAATTTGTGACGTGTAAGTAAGAATTTTATTCCCCATAACGTACAAGATAAGAATAGAGCTGAGTAAAAAAGGAAACCAAGTTAATGGGTTCCTTCACTCAGAGCCACTCACTGGCACCACCGAGAAGCGGCCGAGCCCTTCGAACACTATTATCAACACCCGCGACCGCCCCAGATCGCGAGAGAGGAAGGTTTCGTGAGTCATACCTCTGGGGGCTCAGGCGGCTGAAAGGCAGGCAGCGGGCTAAAATCGGTTGCCGCGGCGCGTCAAGTGTGATCGCTGACATTTAGAACTGAGTTCTACAAGCGTGTCGCGGGCGCACGTTCGTGCTGCGGCGCCGGGAGTTGGCCTCCAACGCGACTAAGCCGCTCGTGTGATTACCTACATTTAAAACAATGCTTTACCGGCAGACCTTTGGATGCTCTGCTGAGTGGCGCCGTGTGAAGGAGACGTACTTCTTTTTATTAGTCATGTCGTTACGATGGTTAACGTTGGTGCAACCATCTTCATTGCTACGAGTATCTTAGAAATGTGGCAGGGTCGCCACAAGTCTAAGTTACACCGTGTTTCAAAATATATCTAGTATACATGAAACGAAGTGATGTAATGTGACTGCAAAGCATTTGTTTGTTACTCGTACAAAAATAGATAGCCTCGTTGTTTCCCAAATTGTATTAGATTTTAAAATCCTTTTTGACAATGAATGTACATGTTTCTGCCATATCCGCACGATAACTTACACAAATAGAAAATAAAAATTACAATGCCGTTGTCAAAATTAACGACGCTATCAACATTAAACAGAGATTGCGACATTGTTTTCACTTGTTAAGTACACGATTTTTGCACACTTAAAATATGAATATTCCACTTCTTTGCGCCGGTCTCTTCATAACGAAAATTCGCAGAAGTAAGCTGCTCTTTCTCTACATGGCAAATCATTCAATTTACCATTCTGTCTGACAATACCACCGCAGTCCGAATCTGGATCTGTGGAGGATTTGGCATTATCAGGCTGATTTGTTATCCATTCAGCATATCCGGATTCTTCGAGAGTCTGTCCTAAAGATATACATACATTTCAGTCTTTATTGAAGTATCATTAAATTGTAAGTAAAATATAAAACACTGATATACGAATAAATGCACATAAAATGAATTGATATCAGCCTCGTGTATTTAATAATTTCAATTTCTCAAAACATGAGAGAGTATCCACAATTCATAAAAGTTCTCTTTATTTAATTATGATTAAGAAAAAGTAAGCTTTTATCTCTCAGTGGTGTTAGGGTTACGTAACTGTTGTACCGGATGTTCATTTTATCGTTCGCCGAAAATTCGGACCGCGTCGCCCGGGGAGGCGAGGGCTCGCTTGCCCAGCGAAATGCTGACTCATATCCGTGCTGACATACGGGAACTATCGCGCTTATCTCAAAGAAAATGCTGAACATGGTGTCCGGTTCAAATACATTCTTGGTACCGACGGAACTTATTCTGATTATCTTTTCTGTTGAAGCGTAATTTCATCGTAGTGGATACAACAGATACAACAACCGCTATTGCGGTGCAGAAAACCCTCACCTGTTTCACAGAGAGTGGTGTCAATCAATATACCATTCTGTTGGACAAAACCGTCGCAGTCTGAATATGTGGAAAATTTGGCATTGACATGCTGATTTGTTATCCATTCAGCATATCCGGATTTCTTATTCAGCATATCTCGGATCAGCGGATTCTTTGAGTGTCTGGCATGAAGAAATACATACATTTCAGTCTTTTAATGAATTATTATGGAGTTGTGATATTGTGATGTCACAAGAAAGAATCTATTGTTACTTTCAACAGGATACAACAAATTCTCACACTGATGTTCGGTCCATAAAGTTTTTAAATACTATTTCTCGTGACGATTCAATAATCCTTCGTGGGTTATGGTCTCCAATATCATCTGATCTGACACTCTGTGGCTTTTTCCTTGGAAGGTACTTGAAAGATTAAGGGTATGCAGAAAAACCCACTTTCGGACAAAGAGCCTCGGCACTCTATTGAAGAGAAATTCGCAACAATTCCTCGAGACTTCCTGCGAAGGTAAGTCAGAATATGTTCCGGAGAAGCCAAGAATGCATTCAAGCCGAAGCCGCTTTCAGCATCTTCTTTAAGGTAAGTTAAGCGCGGGCATAGTGCCCGTATTTTAGCTCGGAAGTTGAGTCAGCACTTCGCTTGGCGAGCGAGCTTTCGCCCCCCAAGCGACGCGGTACGAATCTTCGAACGATAAAATGCCTATCTGATACTAGCTGAATCCATCCTACAATGTTGACTATTTTTACAATTTTGTTTATGTTTTTGAGAGTTTCTTCACTTGAAGTCCACCTCATTGAATCTACAAATGTCTCTGCGAATAATCATGAGGTACGAAAAAAATTTGCTCGAGCTTGCGTATGAATTCGACGCGTGTATTTCCGCGCACTAATCTATTATCGGGATATTCTTTCGAGAAACTGTCGGCGAGAATCAATGTACAATTCGTATGATCTGTTACGTGGTATATTGTAATGCTTGATTCTTACCAAAAATTGTAATATAATGTCCTTCCGTGGCGTCGGAGAAACCTATGTAAGCAAAATTAGCCCACGCCGCCTGAGGAATGGTTGCAGGAGCCCTTGCGAAGATCCCCTTGAGGGCGGCGGCTTCTTCCTGGGAGTTGAGGACAGCGAGGTGCGCGCCCTCTGCCTCGCACGCCAGGCGCGCCTCCTCCCACGTGAGCGGCGTCAGATGCAGACGGTACCAGCCCACACCAGGCACCATCTCGTACCCCGGTGGAGGCACCCTTTGGTCCAATGCTACATGCACAGGTATTGCAAAGTCAAGATAATACATATGATAAGTCTAATATAGAAGATAGAAGTCAAGATATATATATATATATATAATATATATAATATATATACTACTATCATATTGGCTTCTATGCTTGGACTTGACGTACTTTACTTGATTAACCCTAAATATTACTATCGTAAATCAACAACTCCTGAGACTGAGATTGTTTGGATAAGGGTTATTTCAGCTATTTTGATGTAATTGTACGGCAATTCCTTTTAATGAAACATCCCATTCCTAAGATTATAGTACCATGTAATCACATATTGTTTTGGTTGGACTTCCCTACAAGTAATTTTCACAATGGCGCGTTTGATGACATTATTTTTAGATTATGCACTCGTTACATGTTAACATCTTTCAACAATCAATTAGGAAATATGACAATAATTTTATCAAGAATTTGTAACTGTATATGTTTATAATATTTAAATATTATAATATAATATTTCCTATATATTCGAAAACGTAGAAAATTAAAGTAAACGATACAATTTTTGTCTGTTTGCGTGTTAATAATTCTGTATGTATTCTGTGTTTTCTTGTATGTTTATATTTTTGTATATAATAATACTAATATTGTATATTTAGGGCATGAACTCTCTTTTTTAATTCATTGAGTAAATAATTTTAAAATTCGTTTACTATAATTATGTAGTTTAGAGGACACTAGAAAGCACTAGTGTTTCAATTTGAAATTACGTATAACTAATAAAAAAACTTTTCTCATAATATGTTTATCCAATTTTGGTTTCCAATGATATTATTTTTATAGATTGTTTATTGCATACAAATATCCCTCCAACATTTGAGAATTTGATAGCGATTTGCATTATCTTTCATAATCCCCACAGAAAATATCGTTTGTGTGTTCTAATGTAAGATGATTTCGTAATAATGGTAAGATTTATTTGCCGAATAAAGAAACCATTTTAATTGAATTATTAACATTGCATTTTAATTGTTTTAGATGAGTGCGGAAACGCCTCTTACTGTTTGTAGAAGCCGTTAAGCGAACATATCGCACGACGCCAATTACAAAGACATCTTGTTCCACTCGGAAGTTGACAGCTCCATTTCCCAAGTTGTCTTCACGAGCAACGAGATCTGCCTGAAAATAGAGTTCTTGTATTTCAAATGGGGTACCAAGAGAAAATATGTATTTTTAATCCATGCGCGTTGTAAACTAACAAATTGTCTTTAAAAATAATATTTTTTGATACTCAAGGTATATATAGTGATAAGACAAAGGCAGGCAAAGTAATATACACACTTTGAGTACTGTTAGCAAGTGAATTGTCCTCATATTACACCTGTATGTTGTGTTCTTCACCCGGGAACACTTCACGCATTTTCCCCGTTTTGTGAATAATTCTTTCTATGCTTTGCTTTCATCTTTATTATAGCGGCTCAGAAATGAATTAATAGCCAAAGGAAGTGACGAATGTTTTTCTCTTTGAAGAACATAGGAACTTCTAACAACGAAAATGCCAAATTACGCAAAAATGTATACGGATTCTTACCCTGTCTTATTGTTGCTTTTCAAGATATTGTATACATTCACACCTGCAATGTCCAATAATCTGAAGAAAAGAGACATTGGAGACTTCTTGTAATCCTTGACACAGAATACAACTGCACATCTGAACCAATGTGTCTATTGCTTTTACGGCATTATACTCAATGATGTAATAATAATAATAATAATAATAATAATAATGATGTCTTTATTAATGGCGAGGCTCAGGCCATAGGGC